CCGCCCCTGCCGCCCCATCTTCCGCCGCCTTCGCCCGCTTTTCCCCACCCCGCCCCGCGCCCGCGTCGCCCCGCGGCCGCTGTGCGCCGCGGCTGCCCGCGCCCGCGCCGGCGGCCGCCTCGGAATCGCGCCGCCGCCGCCGCTGGATGGCGCGGCCGGCGCCCCTTACAAGGTCCACCGCCGTTTGGTGGTCGTCTGTTGCGAGCAGCTGCTGCAGCTCCGGCGCGTAGTCATCCACCGGGAACTTCCAGTGTTGGTGCAGCAGGGTGGGGCACGCGAATGTTGGGATGATGAAACGCAGGGCATCACTGGATAAACCAGTGTTTGTGGCGCAATTGTGGCGCGCCTGGGCCGCCCAGGGCATCCAACTTGGCCCAGGCCATCCAACCCCAAGTTGACTTGGAAAGACGTCATTGATATGCCGCTCATCATTTATGAACACAAGGTCGTAAACACAGGCATGGTCTAGAGATGGCTCAGAGCCGCGCGCCGGACTGGTCAGCTCCCGCCCTGCTGGGCAGCCCCCGCCGGCGGGGCCGGGTTTCGTGCACTCAGTGGTGACGGGAGCTCACGTTAGTCATGGCGTCGGCCTTGAAAAAGCTGATGGCGGCCCTGTGGTGGGGATGAGGCAATTTGGTTGCATAGGAGGGGGTGCTGTGAACAAAGCGCGCGGTTGGGTCCGCCAGCTGCCGGGCGCAACAGTGTGGGCGCCGCAGCCGGCGTTCGTTCGCCGTCAAGCCGGCAGGCATCAGCGCAGGGGCCGAGAGGGGCGGTCCATCGGTGTGGCACGATAGCTACAGTATAGGGATCGATGGAGTGAAGCAGGGCTAGCCTGCTGAACAGCGGAGCCCCGACCCGCAGGCGCAAGGCGGCCCTGGTTAGTCGCTGCCCCGAAGGGGGGCTGCCACGCGCGCGTTCACGTGTCAGCACGGGACAGCCCGCACCCCACTCTGCCCCCCTGGCTCCCGCACGCCTGTCGTAGGCGCGCGCAGCCTCAGACGCGTCGTCGTACGATCCGAGGAAGAGCTGGCGGCCGCGGCCCCCTGTGGGCGAGGGCTCCCAAATCTGCGTGCGCGCGCGTGCGCCCGTGTGCGCCCGTGTGCGCCCGTGTGTGTGTGTGTGTGTGTGTGTGTGAGAGAGAGAGCGCGTGTGCGAGTGCGTGTGCGAGTGCGTGTGCGAGTGCGTGCTTGCGTGCGTGCGTGCATGTGTGGACGCGGTTTCGTGGCGGCATTTTTGGGTGCCAAGGGGGTTTGGCGGCGATGGTGCGTCAGCGAGTAAGGAGGGTGGCAGGGCGGGGCGGGGGCGGATGGCGACAGAACTGGAGGGTGGACTTGCAACAAGGATGAAAGGCGGCATGAGCAGGAGGGCCGGCGGACAAGAGCCACGCCCCCGGACTGCCGCCGGCCCGCAGCCGCGGCCAGCTGCCACCGTGGCGGCCGCCACGGCCGCCGCCCGCCCACAGCTGCAGCCGTCAGGGGCTGATGCTGCAGCCGGCGTCAGATGGCGCTGCCGCTGCTGCTGCCTGCCGCTGGGGGCAGCGGCAGAGTTTGGCCCAGGGGCCCACCGCTGCGTCCCAGCGCCGGGTCCTCTTGTGCCTGGTCACGCCTGCGCAGGGGTTCAGTTGTGCAGCGGTTGGGCAGAGGGATGCAGGTGCACACGCAGGGCCAAGGCAAGCGACGGCGGGGGTGGGGGTTAGGAGTGGGGGTGGGGGTAGTGCGATCAGGGCGCGCAGTTGCTTGCTGGCTGCCACCCCTGAACGCGCCAATGAAGGCCTTATTGCGTCTGTGGCTGGACGGACCCGGACGGCGGCCGCACGTCTTGCCGCCCGCGTTTTCATCCAACGCCCGGCCCCGGCCACGCCTTAATCGCGAGCCACGCACGAATCGGGAGAGACGACCGCCAGGCCAAGACCAATGACGAGTCGGCGCGCACGCCGACTGCTGTCCCCAAAAATGTGAACCTACCTTTGAAGGCCGATGTCGTCTGCAAGCCCACGCCAGCCTTCGATCTCTGCCGGCTCTTCTTGCTCACGCACTGCTCGGGCGCCACACTCGCCTCCGCGGCGGCCTGTCGCCCTGCCCTGAGCGCAGGCGCGCCGTCCGCGGCGGGCGGGACCTTGGACGGCGCCTCCGCCCCGCACAAACCTTGGACTGGCTGCGGCGCCGCCCAGGCTTCGCCGCTGCTGCTGTGGCGGGGCGGTAGAGGGCGCTGCTGCTGCTGATGATCCTCCTGGGTGCTTTCAAGTTGAGGCTCCTGCTGCGCCGCCACTGATTGGGCGCGGCGGCTGGGAAGTAACGGGGGCTGCGGCGCCGCAGCCGCCTCGGGCGCCGGCCCCGATTCAGTTGGCGACGCCGCGGCGGAGCCGACAAAAAGCGGCGGCGGGGGCGGGGGCGGGCTGCCGGCATAGGGGCAGCTGGGGCCGGCGGCGGCGGGCAGGGCGGGGAAGTGGTGCCATTGCAGTGCAGCGGAGCGCATTGCTGCAACGGCTGCGCAGGCCGCGGGTGGCCGCTGCCCTCGGAATGCCGCGCGTTTGGGACGGGGCCGCGGCGCTCTCTATATCCTGATCTGCGGGGCGTGTATATATGCGCTGAAGGCGGCCGGTGGCGCGCTGCGCGGAGCGATGTAAGGCGGGCGCTGCCTCGGAGGCGCCAACCGAAAAAATACACCAGCTGAAGCAGATTCTGGAAACAGGGCACAAGAGGCGAGTGAGGATGCGATATTGTATATGATATGGCAATCGATGCGTGCTACCGGAGACCCGAGCTTCTCAAGTTTACAACGGCCCGAGGATGAGCCTGTCCGAGGTGAGTGCGTCACGACTTCTAAGCTCTTCGATTGCTGGTGCATTCGCACATGGCTACAACTGAAGATGACCTAAATTTTTCAATCTGATACGTGAATGAGTCAGCCTCCGATCCCATCCGCTTGAGATCTGCTTTGCAGTGTGAGCGCCCTACTAGGGGACGATGCCTGCACCACGCAAAGCCCGATTCACCCAGCCCACAATGGGCGTGAGCGTCCGACACAAAGTCATGCGGGTACACAAGTCCTTCTTTTTTGGTCAACTGGCGCGGGCTCTCGTCCGCGCCTGACTAGCTCGGGCTCTCCACCCATGCACGATGTGTTGGGGTGTCACGCTTGCTTCTTGGGTCCTGATTGTACGCCGTAGCTCTTACTTGGGGACAGATCGCCAGGCAAGGTTGGCTATGTGTGGGCGCGCAGGGCTGCTGGTGCCAATGAAACAAAAGTGCAGCATTAGGGTATGAAACAATCAGCAGTGCGTAGGATAAATCGGGCGCCGTCAGTGGCACAAAAGAGTCCCCCAAAACTGGGATGTTGGGCCCAACGGCGGCCAGACCCTCGCCCATCAAGCGAGCCGCAACATTGGAATGTCCGTCAGCCGGCGTGGCAGGGATCCCCAGCGTCGCCACCGCCGCCCGCCCGCCGAGCGGCGCCCCGGCGTTGCTGGCCGCTCGCCGCAGGCAGCGGGCTGAGCTCCCCCTGGGGACCTCGCCCGCCAAACAACGTGTTGCGCCTGGCAACAACCCCCCTCGCAGATGGGGCGAGTAGAGTCGAATCGCAGGCAGGAGCTCGTCAGTGGCGGTCAAGCTGCTTGATTGTGACAACAGCACCTGTTGTGGGAGGGGAGAGTGACGACATGCATTTGCATCCAATTGCTATGCGCAGCGTGCGTGTGAAGTGTGCATGTGTGTGTGTGTGTGTGTGTGTGTGTGTGTGTGTGTGTGTGTGTGTGTGTGTGTGTGTGTGTGTGTGTGTGGGCGCGCGCGCGCGCACAGATGCAGCGTTGGTACTGTCCAGCAGCAAGTGTTATCGTCGCAACGGCCCAGGCTCAGCCGACAGCGCGCCGCCCCCAGCAACAGCCGGCCGGCCGGCCATCGGCCACAACAGGAGCCTAGATATTCCGACAGGCACAGGGGCTGTTGCGGACCCTCAAGAGCACCGGATAAAAGTTTGATATACACTACCCCTTAACCCCTGGGTCCACCTGGAGAGATCTTGTTCAAGCCAATGAAGCTGTGTGGGAGGGTAGGGATTGGGAGCGGGGTGGGT